CATTTCAATTTATTTCGCTTTACTTAAATATAATAAGTATCTTTAGGAGAATGATTGAAAAAATGTTTGGTTGATTACCAGAGATCACTTTAATTTAAAATTGATTCTCTGTACACTTAGATAATTATAGTAACTATTATAAGGTCCTTTTGAAATGACAGAATAAATTTTTTGACTGTTAAATGTCTCACCATTTAAAATTATCTTAAATAAGTAATAAATATAATAGTTTCTAATTATTTGTTAAACTTTCTCTCAATAGATATGTTGGCGAATTTATTTGTTCTAAAACTGATTAACATAAAATATCTTCAATCTTTGGATTTCTCTAGTAGTTATGAGTTTTTAAATCACTATAGGCCTTATCGATATCACTGTCTGAATTATGATTTTTAAACTACAATTATAAAATAAATTGAAAATTCTGATGCAATTTTATAGGATATTCAGTTAACAACAGATACTGGTGAATGAAAACTTACACTATAACCAATTTCCTTTAACTAAAAGTAAAAAGTAGATAATTAGATGATTAGAAAAGAAGTTTGATAAGTCAATAAATTAATTGAGCAAATAGAATTGCTTTATTGAAATGCTCTATTTTAACTTAAAGGGTAAAATCACTTAATAATATAACTATAAGTTGAAACTAAGCATGTGATTCTGAAACATGAAAATTTAACATATGATTGATAAAAGTATTCAATTTTTTCTGGTCTTTTAAATGCACTTCGATTTTAAATATATGAAAATTATAATTTTAAATCAAATGGAAATAATATTTCAATTTTTAGTAAACGAGCTATATATTAGCTAACTAGTTATTGCTAATAAAAGACCTTAAAAGTGCTTAAAACATGGTTCAGGGGTATAAGGTATTATGTGCCTATTCTACATTTGATGCCATTCAGAACCTTGAGTTATAAGTGCTGAAAAGATTTCAATGATTAAATCAATGGGAATCTCTTGACCCTGATTGTATTGTGATTCCTTTTATAACAAATCATTTCAAAAGTTAGATCTCAAGGAAAATTTTTGAATATATTGTTTTTCACATACTCCTTTGATAATGTGATGATCACTTTTCATTACTCAATTAATGGTATAAAGGGCATTTTAATCCAAGAATGAACTATTTTATCTATTTTTAACTAATGAACAATTGGTATGACATTCAAATTATTCCAATTACAGTTTTTCAAAAATAAATAAACCTTTAAAGAATAAATCAGCAATTACATTTGCAAAATTAACTTTCTTACATTTAATGATTAAAGTTTTGAATACACAAATAAAACTATTTTGGATAAAAACAAAAATTTTGTAAACTCAAATAAATTTGTTTGTCCCAACTTTGTTAATTCTTTTTTTTCCCCAATTTTCAAATTATTGATTTTTCTTTTTCCAATCTTACAAAACCCAGTATCAAAGACTTGTTTAAACTTTATATTCATTATGTAGAACTTGAAATCTGATTATCTAATTCTTTATGAAAAGCAATAGGTTTGCATGTTAAATCTATTAGGGTTTTGGGCATTCAAAATTTAACAAGCACTGATGAATCTTGCTCTCTCCCAATCATTTTATATTCTTATGTGTCTTAACCTCGAAACTTCATGTTTTAATTGTTCGATAAATAATTATATATAAAGAACATTAAATATTAGACGTTTTTTTTCTATTATACAATTGATAATTTACTTGTGTAAATGTATCAGAATAGTTTTCACCAATGTAGAGCATCATTAAAACGTGTAGAGCATGTTGTGAATGATGCTTTCTTAAAAAAAATAAAATTAAAATATTTTCAAATTTTGTGTTTCTAAGGGTAATCCAGGAAAACCTTGTCCCTAAATTAGATCTCGGTAACCCTTTGAGGATGGAATTTGTCAGAGAGAACGAGGGGAAAGGTTATGATAACCAGAAAGTTTGAAAATAAGGCAATAAGAAGAGTGTTAAATTCAAAATATTCTGAAATAGCCTGAAGACCCTGCTGAGACCAGAATCTTGGGGATGTCGAATTGTTAAATTGGAGTTGGAACTTACGAAACCAAAGGATTTTCAAAATGAGAAAAGTATTTGAAAAGTTAAAGCCCATATATGGCTGATTTAGGAATGGAATTGGGAATACGGAAATGAGAGATGAGAGATGATAGTTATGAACTTGGATCTTTATGTTTTTGTAAGGAGAGAAATGGAAAATAATTGAGATTTGATTTAATAGATAGATTAGGTGCGCCAGGAGTGAGAATATGGAAACTGAGAATTGCATTTTAACAGAAGTAGTCATCGAGTACTTATCAATTATAATTGGGGGTATTCATCAAGTGTGAATAAAAATGATAATTGGGATCTTTTGGAAAACTTGAAGATACAACCCAGTATGATTGGAGCTAACCTGAATATGAAATTGAGAAGAGAAATGAATCTTTATGATGAGATTCTAGGTCGAGTCACTCAAAATGGATTAAAATGAAGTTTTAAAATAAAAATTTCAATGCAATGTAAATAATATCAATAATAATTTTATATACAAAGGTATCAGAAATAATTTTTGAAGCAATAGGAAAAGTGGTGGATAGAAAGGAAAAAATGATTGAATTCAGAACACTTAGATATTTGAAATCGGCTGAATAATTCTGAAAGAAGATCTACCAAATGGGAAGTACTTGGAAGAAAGATACTATAAATTGAAATAACATACTTGGAATATTAAGGAGAAAAAGAGGGAAGCTTTATGAATACAATACAGATTGATGATAATAATACTCGGCAAATTACAAAGACATAATCCATAGATGTATTTAAAAGATCATTTACATACAAAAATAATTATTTAGTGAGGAGGAAGTTTCGAAAGGACCTTAAAGAAAAGTCAAAAGGAGGGAAAAGGATATTTATGATTAAAAAATGAAAGATGCACCTATTATGAGAATAGAGGAGAGTGTTAGAATGTGGTGAGAAGGTGTAGAGATTCAATATGGCAATCAGATATGACTTTTATCACCTAAAAATGATCTCTTTTATTGTAGTAA